ATCTTTGGAGCTTTTTTCAGATTTCTCCATGGCTGATCTTTTGAGAAAGTGGAAAGAAATTGCTACCTTGGCTCAGTGCAAAAGGACCTCTAGACCTTCTTGGTTCCCCCCTCCTTCAGGATTCATGAAACTGAATTTTGATGGTTGTAGTTTAAGGAATCCTGGGCCTTTTGGGATTGGGGGAGTTTTCAGAAATGAGGCTGGGATTATTTTTGCTATGTTCTCTGGCCTTATTGGTGAGGGTGACTCTCTTAGGGCAGAGGTTTTAGCAGCTTTGGAAGGAATCAAAAGAGCAAGAGAATTAAACATTTGGTGCTTGATCATTGAAGGGGACTTGGAGGTGGTAATTAGGTGGTTGAAGGAAGATAGCAATGGTTTGTGGAGCTACAGAAATGAAAAAAAAAAAATTTAAATGGCTGAGTAGGGATATTGAGGTGAAGTACAACTGGGTGAAGAGAAGTGCTAATTCCATGGCTGATGGGTTAGCCAAGCAAGGGGTACTTAAGGATTCTTTGTTTTGGACCACTTTTTAGCTTTCTTTCTTGTTCTCTGTTGTGGGGGAGTTAAGATATTTTACCTCCCCTCTCTTGTACTCAAAGTTTCACAATTTTTATAATCTAATAAAGCATTCTATTATTGATCAAAAAAAAAAAAAACTACATGAGATTAGTTACATGAATCCTGTTTTGCCATTTTGTTCTATTTAATGCCATATCCATTGTTAAATTATTAGCACTTAAATCATTTCTTAGTAGTTTTTCCCATGTCCTTTTTGGTCTACTTCTACCCCTTCTAGCCTTTTCAACTTGCAAAATACCACTTCTTCTTATGGGTGCTGTCAAAGGTCTTCTACACACATGACCCCTACATTTATTATCAATAAAAAACATATTTCTTTTATTGGACTTTTGTGCAAGTTTTGTTTGTGGGGGAAGTGTTATTGTGGTGATACTCTTATTAGGGAATGGGGAGCTTTGTTTGTTCTATTTTTGTTTCTTTTTCTTGGTGACTTCTTGCCACTTCTCTTTGTAACTTCAATTTTCTTTTAATATTTTCCATTTATTATCTGAGAGTGGCCACTTTGTATGCCAAGGGTTTGGTCCTTATCCAGTCCACCCCTCCCACAACCCCGAATAGCTGGAAACCAACATTGGGTAATAGCCTTTATTATCAAGAAAAGAAAATCATTCCTGGTTTCCAAGAATAAAATAATACAAAGTTTCGTTCAACAACTTTAGTAGCAAAATCTAATAGTTGCCTTTTATTTTAGTGCTTATATTGATTTGGTTTTTTTATTGGGTTGTGTTATTTTTGTACCATATATTGCTATAAGGTATTAAAAAGGAAAATGCATGCTATGAACTGTCATAAACAGATTTTACTTTTATATTGACTTTTCTTTTTTGTAACAGGGGAGTGAAGATTTGATCATAGTTCATGATGCACTTGAGTATGGACATTGCCGTTTATCTCTTGCAGTAAGTAACTACCAGATTTTTTGTGTCATTTAAAGGAGGATTTCATATTAAATATTACTTTTTTTCTGGACAATATCTGCTACTGATTATCTTAATTTTGTAAACTTTTAGATCCCCAAGTATGGGATATTTGAAAATATAAATTCACTAACTGAGCTGGCAAACATGCCTCAATGGACTGATGAGAAGCCTCTACGAGTTGCTACTGGTTTTACTTATGTATGTTACTTGATTCGTTCAATTCGTTCTCCTTCTTCTTCTGATTTTTTTTTTTTGTTAAGATGGCACTACATGGAGCAATTATCTATTGTATATTTGTTTTTATTTATTGTTCTTCCTTCAAACAGCTGGGTCCTAAATTTATGAAAGATAGTGGATTAAAACATGTCATTTTCTCAACAGCTGATGGAGCATTAGAGGCAGCTCCTGCGGTAAGAACCATGTTTTGGCCAATAAACCTTTATTTTATGCTTTTCCCTAAGATGCTTTTGAGTTCATTCTGTTTTCATTTGGCATCATGCATACTAGGAGCGTAGGAGTTAGGATATAGGGGTTTGCATTGACAGCCTGTATGTTTCTGTTAATCAATTTCATGGCCCTTTTGATTTCCTGTCTTGAAGATAATAAAGTTGTTTTTTCTGCTGACATATTTATTCTGTTTTGTCTTTTTTTTTTCCATTTTATAATTTGAAATTCTTTGCTAGTTCATTAAACTAAATTTTGGCTTTCTCTTTTTGTATTCAAAGACAGCCTTGATTCTTCAAATGTTTTTTCAACTTAAAGCAGTTTCTGTTTTGAATCTTTTATGATAATCTGATAAATGAATTGCTTGCTGAATTTTATTATTCCTTTATGCCATACTTTTTCCATGTTTCATTTATTTTGCTGATTCAGGGTACAATTAGCAGTGGAAACCAAAAAATATGTCAATGCAATCTCTTTTGTTACCTTGGTTTGATAATCCACAGCAAGGGAGAGATTGAGGAGGGTGTCTCCCATAGAATTAGAGTGGAATGGGCAGAATAGAGGGGTGCATCTGGAGCCCAATGTGATGCAAGAATACCGTTTGGGCTAAAAAAAATTTAATAAAATGATTCTAAGGCCAACAATGTTGTATGGATGTATTTTCAGATTAAGATTCCTTGGTGAAATAGAAAAGATGCGAATGAATATGGGAAAAAAAGGATGGAGTGGGTGGCTGCCGTACTTATTATTATATTAGGGTGAACATAATAAAAGCTGAAGTACAAAACTGCCCCTAAGTCACTAATCGTACATGTAACAGTACATAGCCAACACTCCCCCTCAAGTTGGGCCATAAATGTCAATCATTCTCAACTTGTTATGTAGCTCAATATGACGTGGGGTAGTTACCCCTTTGGTGAGTAAACCAGTTAACTGATTTGAAGTACTCACATAAGTACATATTTTGCCCATTTCCAACTTCTGCCTAATAAAGTGCTTGTCCGCTTTAGTATGCTTGGTTGTGTCAAGGAGAACTCGATTGTGAGCGATGTTGATGGCAGCCTTGTTATTGCAACATAGGGCCATAGGGCTGGTTATAGGAATCCTAAGTCAAGAAGAATATTCTTTATCCACAATACTGCTGTTACTCCATGTGCCATAGCATGATGTTTTGCTTCCACACTTGATTGGGCAACCACCATTTGTTTTTTACTTTTCCATGTCACAAGATCACCTCCCAAAAGTACAATAATTAGAAGTTGACCTTTTATTATCCACAAAACCAGCCCAATATGCATTTGTATAGGCTTTGATTGTCAAGTGCCCATTACTAGCAAACAAGATACCTTTCCCTTGATGTTTCTTCAAATGCGGGAACTCTCTCTGCAATTGAGACATGCACTGTTTTTTTTTGATCAATTACATGCATGCATGTAGGGGCATGCATATGCTGACTAAGAACACCAACAACATATGCTATATCTAGCCTAGTCATAGACAAGTACAGCAACCTTCCTATAAGCCTCTGGAATTGTTTTACATTAGTAACCATATCTCCCACACTTCCACCTAGCCTATGGTTAGGTTCAATAGGTGTGCCAGCTTGTTTGCATCCCATCTTACCTGCATCCTGTTAGAGATCTAGAGTGTATTTCTTTTGGGAGATGAAGATGCTTTTATTGGGCCTGGCAACTTTAAATCCTAGGCAGTACTTAAGAGGACCCAGTCACCTAGATCTGTCGGTGATGATAATATCATCCACATAGACAATAAGAACAACCAGTTTCTTCTCTTCTCTTTTAACATAGTGTGGTCAGACTGGCACTACATCAACCCCATTTGCTGGACAGCTTTATTGATTTGGCGAAATCACATCCTTGGTGATTGCTTTAGTCCACACAGAGACTTCTTCAGGTGATACATTTCTTTCACTTCCTTTAGTAGGAATCCAGGAAGCTACACCATATAACACCTCTTCTTCCATGTCTCCATTCAAAAAGGCATTTTTTACATCAAGTTGATGAAGATTCCATTCCAAATTTGTTGCCAAGGATAATAGGACCTGAATAGAGATCATTTTTGTTATAGGGGCAAAGGTTTTTGTGTAATCCCCACCATACATTCGAGTGAAATCTTTGGATACTAGTTTAGCTTTGTATCCATCTCTCTATGGATTCTTCAGCCCTATGCTTCACCAAGTTCTTACCTGTGGGGAAGGTCCACTAGTTCCCACATATTGTTTTTATGTAGGGCATTGATCTTTTTAAGCATAACATTAGTCTACTTGGTGATTCTAGGGCTTCCACAAGAGTTTTAGGAATAGAAACACTAGACACAACAAAAATATAAGCACGATATGAAGGAGACAAGGAATTACAAGAAGTATAATGAGCAATAAGGTGTTTAGTTAGTAGTGCAGGATCTAACATCCTACGATGGGCAATAGGAATGCCAAGGTCATTAACAACAAGAGGAGACAAAGAAACAGTACTTGGTTGATAAGGTGGAATAGGATATTGATAAAAAAGGTGGAATGTGATTCAAGTTTGCTCCCTCAAAGCCAATTGGCATAGAATGTATGACCATGACTTTGGTTGCTCCACATCGTGAGATGTTTGCTGGACTTTCTAGTTTTGGCGATGAGTGTAGGCCCGAAGAGGTTGAGGAAGAGAAACAGAAATTGATAGGGGAAATAGAACCTGGCTTTTATCACTACATGCCACTACATGTCTCCCCCTGAGGAGGGGCAAGAAAATTTGACTAAGACTCGAAGAAGGTAACATCTAAAGAGATATACAACTTTAACAAGATCATAACACTTAAAACCCTTTTGAGTCAAAACCTTTGCACTCAAACTGTCAGACAGGAACCTAGCAGATGTGCCTGCAGCCAGAATTTGGAATTCGATTTCCCCCTCAATAATCCATGCTTTAGTTTGGGCAGCGGTACTAAATAGGTGCTTCAACAAAGTCATTCTGTCTAAGAGAGGGATGCAGATCCAGGATGATGTAGGACCATCTTAGTTCTAGTCCTTAGAGAATGTTGAATGGTCTTCTTTGATCAGAATTTTATGGCTGTTGATGGCTGTAATGGCTTCTTGAAGGAACAAGAAAGAAAATAGAGAGAGAAAGAAGAGAGAAAATAGACATGGGTCAATCCTGTGGAATAATAGCAAGGGCTCAAATGTTGATATTGAACAATGATGAAATTTATTCTCTCATTCTCTGAGAACGTAAACATAGTGTTTTTGAAATGAAGCGAGAGAGTAAAAGTTATCTTCAAACATTCTTATGTTTCCGGGGGATGTAATGTTTGGTAATAGTTAAAATTTAAAAAGGGAATGGAGTTCGTGCAGGCAGGTCATTGGAGGAGATCCTTGAAGATAGAAACAAAAAATTTCCTGTTCAAAGAGATGAGAATCAAGGGGAAGGTAAGCCTGAAGGTAAGGGAAGCGAAAAAGGGTACAATATTGCTGGAAGGATTAGAAGTGATCGAGTGGCTAAGAGAGTTCATAGCTGGACCTGTTCAAAAGGTAAGC